GAGCTTGAGTTTGTCAGATAGATCAGTACTGCACAGAAACCACATGTTCCAGCACAGCTTCTCTGGGCTTTAGAAAGCTGACGCCTCATGCCAATGCAGACCACAGTCAGTTTATATACAGTGGGGATTGAAAGTTTGGGCACCCCAACTAAAAATTTGTAATAATGTGCATAAAGAAGCCAAGGAAAGATGGAAAAATCTCCAAAAGGCATCAAATTACAGATTAGACATTCTTATAATATGTCAACAAAAGTTAGATTTTATTTCCATCATTTACACTTTCAAAATAACAGAAAACAAAAAAAATGGCGTCTGCAAAAGTTTTGGGCACCCTGCAGAGTTAATATATTGTACTGCCCCCTTTGGCAAGTATCACAGCTTGTAAATGCTTTTTGTAGCCAGCCAAGAGTCTTTCAATTCTTGTTTGAGGTATCTTTGCCCATTCTTCCTTACAAAAGTCTTCCAGTTCTTTGAGATTTCTGGGCTGTCTGTCACGCACTGCTCTTTTAAGGTCTATCCATAGATTTTCAATTATGTTGAGGTCAGGAGATTGTGAAGGCCATGGCAAAACCTTCAGTTTACGCCTCTTGATGTAATCCCCTGTGTATTTCGAGGTGTGTTTAGGATCATTATCCATTTGTAGAAGCCATCCTCTCTTTAACTTCAGCTTTTTCACAGATGGCATCAAGTTACCATCCAAAATTTGCTGAAATTTTATTGAATCCATTTTTCTTTCTACTTGTGAGATGTTCCCTGTGCCACTGGCTGCAACACAACCCCAAAGCATGATTGATCCAACCCCATGCTTAACAGTTGGACAGAGGTTCTTTTCATTAAATTCTGTGCCCCTTCTTCTCCAAACGTACCTTTGCTCATTCCGGCCAAAAAGTTCCATTTTAACCTCATTGGTCCACAGAACTTGTTTCCAAAATGCATCAGGCTTGTCTATATGTTCATTTGCAAAGTTCAAACGATGATTTTTGTGGTGAGGACGTAGAAGAGGTTTTCTTCTGATGACTCTTCCATGAAGACCATATTTGTACAAGTATCTCTTTATAGTGGAATAGTGTACCACAACTCCAGTGTCTGCCAGATCTTTCTGGAGGGATCGTGCAGTCAAACGTGGGTTTTGAATTGTTTTTCTCACAATCCTGCGAGCTGTTCTGTCTGATATTTTTCTTGGTCTTCCAGATCTTGCTTTAACTTCCACTGTTCCTGATGACTGACATTTCTTAATTACATTCCGAACAGAGGATATTGACATCTGAAAACGCTTTGCTATCTTCTTATAGCCTTCTCCAACTTTGTGAGCGTCAACTATTTTCAGTTTCAGTTTTCTAGACAACTGCTTAGAAGAACCCATGGGGCTGATTGTTTGGGCAAGGTCAGATGAGTCTGGGCATTTAAAACCTTTGAGATTGACATCATCTGGTCTTCCAGACGATGATTGAGAACAATCCATGACACTGGCAGGTCTCAGCTTTGCAAAGGGGGCAGTGCATGCTATAAATTCTGCAGGGTGCCCAAACTTTTGCAGACGCCATTTTTTTTGTTTTCTGTTATTTTGAAAGTGTAAATGATGGAAATAAAATCTAACTTTTGTTGACATATTATAAGAATGTCTAATCTGTAATTTGATGCTTTTTGGAGATTTTTCCAACTTTCCTTGGCTTCTTTATGCACATTAATACAAATTTTTAGCTGGGGTGCCCAAACTTTCGATCCCCACTGTATATATATATATCAGGGGCGGACTGACCATTTGGAAACTCGGGCACTGCCCAAGGGCCCAGGGTCAGTAGGGGGCCCTATGAGATGCCCCTGGTACCTTTTTTCATAGGCTTTTTTGAGTTTGGGCAAGGACACAGGGGCCCCATGATCCCCTATTGCCCAGGGGCCCCATGAGTTGTCAGTCCTCCCCTGATATATATATATATATATATATATTATATACTGTATATATAAAACCTTGTTTTTCAAATAAATAACTCATGACAAAGTATTCCCAAAGTACTATGAGTTAGCTAAAGAGATGGGCAGCAGTAGATTTTTTTTTCAGATGAAGCACTGTTTAAATTTCATACTGAGCCATGAAGCCTTTTAATCAGACAGTACAGGAAGCGTGGAGATGCAGGAAAGTAGTCTAAAGCCCCACCTACTGACTGCATTAGAGAATATGAATGTCTAAATGCATTTTACCTATCAAAAAAAATGTTTTTTACATTCTATTTGTAGGAAAGAAAAAACAAAGAAAGAAATAGAAATGAAAGGAAAAAACTAAATAAATCATTCTCCTATAACAGCAGTTTTTATAACAGAGCAGTTACGAATAGCCTTATAAAGCAGGCTAGAGCTCTGTTTGCTTACTGGTGAATATTGTTTACTCATAAATAATAATTCCTATTTTTCTGAAAATATATAAATGTTATCTTTTTGCACATTATTCTCTTGTCCTAAACATAGTAAACACATAGTAAAAAAAAAGAAGCAAATATGTACAACACTACAATACTAACCCTTTAAAAATGAATGCCAGGCAACAAGTGAAATTAACCAGGGAGCTTCTAATGTTATATGGTAAACAAAGCTGCCATGGTAAAGTTAGCCAACTTACCTAATGTACCCTAAATTGAGTTCTAAAAAGTCACTGCAGCAAGATTTTACATGTGTGGTGGGTGGATCTGTTTTCTGAATCCTGCACTGTTTTTCTCCTCCTCGGCAGACAAATCTGAAATATGATTGATGATTACAGACGTGCAAACTCCTCAAAAGTTGGATTAGTTGTGGTCCAGCCAAACTTTTTTATAAATTAACAAACGTCTGAAATTTAGATCTTTAAAACCAGAACTCCCACTGAAGTTGATGGAATTTTAAAAAGGAAATAAAGTGTACTGGGGTGTAAAACCCAGCTTGACTACATTCCCTCTGTGCATTTCAAGGCTTATTTTTAAATTTTGACAGGAATGTATATTTAAGTATCCCTACACATGTACACGATTTGAGCAATTTTAAATTATTGATGTATTTGCTTTGTGAATGAAAGCAACCTTTTGCTCTCTGTAATTTAAGAGCAAGAAAAAGACTGACTGCAATTTTTTTGGCTGACATTACTAACAAGTAGCCCCTTGTACCTTAGCAAAATATTCCATGGAGATCAGAACTCCATCTCAAAAGTACTTGATTCTAATGAGTACGTGCAATGTCATTTCAATTTTCCTCTCCTTTAAGAGCAAAAACAATTCTGAAATGTATTGCGATTGTATGTTTATAATACAGACCTGCTACAACATATGTTCCAATTCTAGTCTATAGCGGCAACAATTTCCCTTTTGCTAAAATAAAGTTGATTTTCTCAAGTGTTAACACTCTGTGTGGAGGTGAACCGCAGTGTGTGTTGGCAGCATAACAGCTTGTGTTATGTTAGCAAAAGAACACAATTACATAATGGTAAAGATAAAACATGAGGTTCATTCTAACCAGGGGCGGACTGACAACTCATGGGGCCCCCGGGCAATAGGGGATCATGGGGCCCCTGTGTCCTTGCCCAAACTCAAAAAAGCCTATGAAAAAGGTACCAGAGGCATCTCATGGGGCCCCCTACTGACCCCTGGCCCTCGGGCAGTGCCCAAGTTTCCAAATGGTCAGTCCGCCCCTGATTCTAACAAATAATGTGCTCATCCAAAAATTGAACGGTATAGTTTAGTCCAGCCAATCTTAATCTTGTTTTTACCCTAAGAAACCCTTGAAATAGCTTTCATGTCTCGGTGAACCCTTGCTAGAAACCAAATAATTGGTGGTCAGTGAGAAAAATGTCTACTGCAATGGTTGGCAGTGCGAAAAAAATGCTCCCTTACAGTATTGGTTGGAATGCCAGCCTTACAGGTAGCTAAAAGGATCTTTGATATCATGCCGCTGACTTTGCCAAGTAATGTTTATTCTGACAAATAATGTGCATATCCAAAAACTGAAGGATATAGCTTAGACCAGCGAATCTCTACCTTTTTTACCTTGAACAACCCTTGAAATAGCTTTCAGGTCTTGGGGAACCCTTGCTAAAACCAATTATTTGGTGGATCAAATGTCTCCTACATTGGTTGGTAGTGGGAAGAATGACCCCTTACAGTTAGGATCTTTGATGTCATACCATTGAGTTTGCCAAGTGGCGTTGACCCAGAAACAATACAATGATCCATCAAATGGAAAGTCAATCAGCTACAGCTCAAGAAACCCTTAGCAATCTCTGGAGGAACTGGTTCCATGAAACCTTGGTTAAGAATGGCTGGCTTAGTCCTTCGAAATGTAGGAAGGTGATAACAAAATTATGGAAATTTTCCACCCTCAGTTTTGTGCTGGCAAGAATGAAGTTGCCACAAATCAAGATCAACAGAGAATTGTTAGTTTTTTCTCAAAGAGAAAGAAAAGTTTTGGAAAATCGTTCTGTTGGATCCCCATCCTCCTATGTCTCCTAGATTCCCTTCAATCCCACCCATTTTTTTCTAGTTCTGGATAGAGTTGGGAAAGATTAAAACCCCTGTCTGCTATCCACGGCTACATCAGTGAAATTTACTTTCACTTCTTGTCCTGCCAACAACAGTTTCACCAGATGGGAAGTGACAGAGGCAGACAGAAATAAAAATCTCACAGGGTGTCTAGCCTTCCCCTACTCCACTAAGGAAAACTATTTTTATTGCTATGTGCCCTAGAACTCCCATAACTTTCTATCTGGTAGAACTTTTTAAGCCGGACTGGAAGTGAGGATACATTTCTCCAATAGAGCCCCAGATAGCAGTAAAAACTTTATCCAAAACTAATAAAAAATATGGGCTGGATAGAGACTTTAACCACTTCAGAACCAAGCATTGTAATGCAACTACCAGTCGGTGCATTTGTTAGGGAGGGTGGACATACCTGTACATCCAGGGGCGGACTGACCATTTGGAAACTCGGGCACTGCCCGAGGGCCGGGGTCAGTAGGGGGCCCATGAGATGGCCCTTGGTACCTTTTTCATAGGCTTTTTTGAGTTTGGGCAAGGACACAGGGGCCCCATGATCCCCTATTGCTCGGGGCCATGAGTTGTCAGTCCGCCCCGTGTACATCCATATGTTTACTAGACAGCAGAGGTCATCTGCTAAAGACATAGAGCTGACTGGAGCAACTCAGTACCATGTGACCACCGTAATGGCCAATCAGAGTACTTACCAGTGTAAACAGTGTACCACTCATAACAGTGGTCAGCCTTCCCCTTCGTCTCAAAATGGTAGTGGCTGGGGGGGGGGGGGGGGGGGGGGTTAACAGTGCGAATGATGGGCTGTAGGGGCCATGGAAATGCCACTGACCACCAATCATTTTGGGACAGTTTTTTTTTTTTTTGGGGGGGGGTTAAAGTGTTTTGGGTTTATATATGACATCTAGCACTTGCACACAATGCAATTCAATTTCATCCTCCAGGACACTTTATTTTTTAATAATAATAGACTTGCCCTTGCCTTCAGTGGGAAACTTTTAAAGGCTAAGTGCACCTTTGATTTATTTTTGTAGCAACCTTAATCCCAGCATGTTTCTTCATTTACAAAAAATGTAGCATAAATGGGATCACCTTGGGATACTTTTCAAAGGGGGTTATTTTCGAAGTGTTCATACTGTCCTGACATTTGTATTTTATATGCTATGTACTAGAAAGTAAGGTATTCAGATTTTTTTTGTTTTAATTTCATGTGTTTTTTTATTTTTTTTTAATTATAAAAAATAAAAAGCCCAGTAGTTATTAAACACCACTGGAAGAAAGCTCTGTCCCAAAAAATGATATAAAACTAATTGGGGTCTAGTGTTGCATGACCAAATAATTGTCAGTCAAACTATCACAGACCCGTAACCTGAAAAATGGACTGTCCAGGAAGGAGGTGTAACACGGCGCTCCTGAAGTCGATAAGTAATATATTCTTATCTATAACACTGCATAATTTCATACTGCTCTCCTTTGCAAAAAAATATATTTTTCTCTCAGCCCAATAAAAGCAGATCCAAATGCTAACTGCATGAAATTTAGTTTGTGAAAGCATTGTAAATCATAAACAATCATATTTTGTTTTTTTCTTCAATAAAATACTGTCTTTGATTTTTTTAATCATTTTTAATTTCAGTGTTGCTGATCTCCTCCGGTTCCATGTATTTATGCCAGCATCGGCTGCACGTCATTGCTCTAGTGGGCATCCCTGCATGTTTGTTGGTTCACATACTTATAGTATTTACTTGGAGTGTGTGTGAAAGGCTGACAACACAACAACAGCTGGAAAACCGTTGTCACCCCATAATAGGAAGACGTTCCTGAACAAGGACTTTCATGGGAGAATTATCTGGTGTTTTCATTGAAGTTGCAGATTTATAAGAATATAACAAACAATAGAAATAGAATTACACTGACAATATCAGTTACAAATTTGGTACCAAACCCTAACGAAAGGTAGCAGAAGGAGTGGATCGAAAACACTACTAAATAATGTATTTATGTGTCTTCTATGATTTTGAATGAAAAGTGTCTGGTAACATTTGGGTTGGTTCACTAAAGGCAAAAAGGCTGTTACTTTGCAAGGGAAGTGGTACTTTGCAAGGTGATTTCCTAAGATCTTAGTAAATGTGGTGAAGTTTCACTTTAAAAAAAATACCAAATCAAGGAAAAGTCATCAGAGTTGCCCTTCATTCACTAAGCCCTGGGACAATTTCCATTGCAAAGTGAACATTCATTTTCGCTTTGGTAAGTCAACCCTGATGTTTGCAGTTTTATGGGCACACAAGGAAATTTAAAAACTTGGGATACCCAAATTTGCAAATTTTAACTATTCCAGGAGGGTTCAAGAATGTGCCTAGATCTTACTGCTTTCGGCACCAACCTATTGAGCCACCACTGTGACAAGTGGCCTCAATGGCTAATAGGAAGACTAGTATGCTCCTGGCAAAAGGTCTATGAATGTTGTGTTCAGGGGTGGACTGACAACTCATGGGGCCCCCAGGCAATAGGGGATCATGGGGCCCCTGTGTCCTTGCCCAAACACAAAAAAGCCTATAAAAAAGGTACCAGGGGCATCTCATGGGGCCCCCTACTGACCCCGAGCGCTCGGGCAGTGCCCGAGTTTCCAAATGGTCAGTCCGCCCCTGATTCTAACAAATAATGTGCTCATCCAAAAACTGAATGGTATAGTTTAGTCCAGCCAATCTCAATCTTGTTTTTACCCTAAGGAACCCTTGAAATAGCTTTCATGTCTTGGGGAACCCTTGCTAGAAACCAAATAATTGGTGGTCAAGTGAGTTTCCAAATGGTCAGTCTGCCCCTGGTTGTGTTATACCTACAGTATATCCAACCGAATGCCTTTTTAGAAATTAAACATAAATTATGAGGGGGGGGGTTCCTCAAAAAAACAGATGGTGGGAAAACCCATCTAAGCCCCCTCTCACCTAAGCCCCCTCTCAACCCAGCGATGTGCACTAGAGTCTCGGCCATCCCGGGACTCCCTCTCCTCATTGGCAGAGAAAGCAGCGCGAGCCATTGCTGTCAATCACAGCCAGTGAGCCAATGAGAAGAGAGAGGGTGCGTGGCTGAGCTGAGGCTCCGTGTGTGAATGGATACACGGAGCAGTGGGTGCCACCATAACAGGCCGCTTGCTGTGGGGGCACCCGACAGGAGGGAGGGACCAGGAGAGCCTGTGGGGGACCCGAGAAGAGGAGGATCCAGGCTGTTCTATGCAAAACCACTGCACACAGCAGGTAAGTATAACATGTTTGTTATTTTTAGAAAAAAAAAAGTTAAGCCTTTAGTATGGCTTTAGGTCTAAGCAGATATATAGTCAAATATGAAAAATTAATATGCTTCTGTAATCATTGATAGAGCATAACATTTTTTTTTAAAGTAGTAGTAAACCACAGCCACAAAAGAAAAAAAAAAACTGGGCCCCAGTCAGTTTAAGTCATAATGTGCACTGCATGCTAGCACATTGTGACAGACTTGCCTGAAAAAGAAGCCCTCCAGCAGTGCTGTCACCGTCTTAGCCACTTTGACCGGTCTTCCTTCCGGGTTCGTGGGCTTTGGCGATATGAATGGCCGAGCCGTGATGACATCACTCCCGAATATTGTAGCAAATGCTGGTTTTGTTATTTTTTCATTTAGAAGGCTATTCCTTTTTATCTTGCTGTTTCTAGATGGAGTTCTGCTTTAATTAGTGTATGGATGAGTAAAAAAGATGAAATAAAAACAGTGAAAGATGACACATGCTTCACTGAGTGACATAGGGGAACAATTCCGTAAAATCTGGTTTTACTGGAATGATTTCACATTTAGTTCAGCCTACTGAGCTTTTTTGAGTAATTAACAAGACCTATTGGCTTCAGGAGCAAAAAGAGATCCTTTCTAAATTTGGGGATACTTCTATTAATGATATACTTCTAACATGCAAGATTAGTCAGGACCTCTCCATTATCCCCAACACTTTACCAAAAATAAAGAATTTGAAAAAAGGTAAATATGTGATAATGTGTAAAGTACCCAAATTCACTTCAAACCCTTTGTTCTTCTTCAAAGCAAATATTTCAACAAAGGATAGAAAAGCAAAGTTTCACGTCAAGATACCAATAATTTGACCATGACCCCCAATTTGGAGCATCATATGTACCCCCATATGCATCACTTTAATACAGCCCTACAGTCCTTCCCTTCTTTTCCCTTAAAGTATAACTAAAGGCAATTTTTTTAAAGTTTTGGATAAAATGGAAATGGATTAGAACACCTGCTAGATTTTTATTGCTGTCTGTGCCCCCCATTCGGAATATCCACCTTATTTGCCCTATCTACCATTATCATTGAAAGTAAAAGAAAATCACAAATTTTGGGATGACCCCAGAACGAAAATGGAGGGGAAATCTTCCAATGGGGATACTAGTTCTGGTGACACCGTGGGATTCCTTCACTTCCTGTTTTGACAATGGAATCGGCAGTGAAGGGAAATCTCCCCAATGGGACACAGTTTACAAAAAAAACCCAAAAACCATCTCTTAAGTCCTGTACACACGATGAGAATATCAGACTAATGATCGCCCCTTTATTTTTGGGCATGCTAGTCTCATATTGAAAAAGAAGAGGTTACTAAAGTTACGAAAATTCTTGTATGACAGAATAAAAATTCGGAAGTGGTGTAATGTATTGTATTGTATTTTCTAATGGAAACTGTACCGATCAAAAGAAAATATTATACAATCTGGTATCGTATGAGAAAGGTTTTCATGATTGTCCCTTCATATGATTTCAAACGAAAGCTGTGTACTAATAATCAGATTGTCATATGATCACTTTGAAAGTGGTATTTTTCATACGATTTGCTGATCTTGTGTACTAGGCTTTTCTCCAATGGTTTCCAAACTGCAGCCTGGGGGCCAGATGTGGCCCTTTGCTTGCCTTTATCTGGCCCTTGAGACATTATTCCTGCCACTGACACTAACAATGGGGCATAATTCCTGCCAATGACACCAACAGCAGGGCACTATTTCTCCCACTGACACTAACAGTGGGACATAATTCCTTATACTGACACCAACAATGGGAAATCATTCCTCCCACTAACACCAAAGATGGGGCATTGTTTACTCCCACTGGGAACAGTCCGCCCCCCTAAAATCTGAGTGGCAGTAAATTGGCCCTTTGTTAAGAAAGTTTGGAGACCCCTTCTATACGCTATCCATAATAGAAAAAAAGTTTTGCCTTTAGTTCCACTAAATTCTCAGGTTATGCACATTTAGAAACATGTAGAATATACCTATAAAAAGTGATGATGTAAAGAAGCCTTAACTTTTTTTTTTGGAGGAAGTTCTTATTTTAAAATTTGCCCCAGGTAATAAAAAAAAGTTGTCGATGATATGCATTATATCCACTTTCTTTTTTTAAAATCAAGTTAGTCTTTACAAAAGACAGAAGGAACACTCTTAAGTCAACCTGTCACTGGAAGCGGCATGATTTTCACCGCAACTCTATAATGGCAAGTCGGTCGAATGCTCAAAATGTCCCCT